AAACAATAAATAGGACCTGTTTTTTTCTTGTATTATATTTTTTATGTTTATTACATTATAAAGAAAGAAAAAAAGTATTATAGTGTTCTATTTTACCCAAATCTGTAAGAAAATGTCTGCCACTCTTTATTTTTTGGCTTATATTAAAATTCTATGGCTTATTATGTTGAATTTTGCTGATATCTGATGATTATTTCCGCCCATCTGCAGCTATAACGTCACATTATGAGCGGAGCTGCAGCTGATGACGTCTAAATATTAAATTTATTAAATTATACTTGTTTCTGGGCAAATGAAGAGCTGCCATGTCAGAGCTGCATGTTTGTTTTTCTAGGATCTGGTTCTCAAAAACAGCAGCTATTACGAGCGCTTCATGTCAGAAGATGCCCCCGTGTTGAACCATTACGGTTAATTCGTTCTCCATTTCCTCTCCTAAGCGTGTTTTCTCTGGATAAACACATATTAGCAGTCGGCGCAGACGTCAGCTGCCTCCGCCGGAGCACTGACTCACGACTGTGACGCGTCGTCTCGTTATTTTTATCCAGAGTCGGCGTGTCGCTCGGCCACCAGCTCACCTCCACCTTGACCCTGTTGTCTCCGTAGCACAGGTGCTGCAGGTAGGCGGCGGCGTTGGCCTGGACGGAGGGGAAGTGGTGCTGCAGCATGTGGATGACCTCCGGCAGCTCGGGGTCGCGCCAAGCAAACTCCCTGAAGGAAGAGGAAAGTCTGAGCAGGGAGGCTTCCACTTACACTCACTGGAATCACTCCTGATGTTTTGCTGCTTCACGTTAAGAAATTTAACATATTTTACTATTTAAAAAAAACCTTTTTATGTGCTACTGGAGTGATTCTGTCCCTCTGGACCAAACAGAAACATCAACTGTTGCATCAATTAGACATATTCAGTGCAAACCCTGATGAACTGTTAATCGATTAGTTCTCAACTATTAAACTCAAACTATTCAGAAAGGCAAAGTTTTTTTTAGAACAGATGTTAAAAAGTCGCTAAAGTTACACCAAAAATCTGTAAAAGCCCAAATAAATGTTGGATTTAGAATTAATCGTGTTTAACTTTTTTTCAGTTTCGTCCAGAAAAACAACCAAATCTAAGCATGAACTGTACGTCTACAAATTTGAAAAGCGTTTGTGGTATTTAGGTTCTGAAAAAAGGCTAAAATTCTGAGTTCCTCGACACAAACATGAAGCTAATCGTGACTCAGCTGTGACAACAACAGTCACATGACAATAATTCTGGGACTTTCGGTTGAACTGCAGGCAGTGTTTAAAGAGAACATCAGCAGACAAGTCAGGAAACTAATACACAGTAAACAACACATTCAGCACAGTGAAACACTTTTCTACAGCTGATGAGACATTTTGATTTGTCCAATACTTTATGAGCAAATTCCTGTGAAGCTCGTTAAGTGTGCAGCAGCCTGATTGGGTGTTTACTGAAGAGGGAATTCGAGAAATGACGTCCTCCTCTAATGCTTGTAATGTTTACATGAACAGGACTTCCAGGGAGCATTACAAGTGTTGCAGGAGTCCCGGGAGCAGAGCATCGCTGCACAAAGAGAAAACTTCAACAAAGATGGAGGTCAAATTCAAATCAGGGATGATTTTTGATCAGTATTTTGTCACCTCAACCCCCAAATAAGAACACTGCCTTAAAGAATAGTCACTTTAATATTATTTAGTCTTAATCAGATGGTACTTTTGGGAACTAAAAACAGATTTTGTTTCATACACCTCATACAGTCGTGGCTTTATAAGAGACTGATGAGATTTCAAGTGATTTTTATTGATTTCTGCAACACTTGTGCAAAAACTGATGAATCATGCAGCTGACATCTATACCCACTGCACTTCTAAGTTTTGAGGCACTTTGGATGAGTTAGTTTCGATTCTTTCTCATCTTGGAACTCATTCTGCAGCAGGACAACGAGCCCAAAACATGCAGCCACGTTTTTATTTTCAGCTACGAGAAGAACAAGGAGTCCTGCAGCAGATGGTGAAACCTCCACAGGAGACACCCGGACCGAATACATCCACAGAACAACTCAGTTCTCCAACATGCTGGGAAAAACCTCGCTCTGTGTCTGCATGTGTGTTTGCCTGCCGTCACCTGGGGTCCTTGTGGATGCTCTCGATGGACGGGGTTCGAGTGACGACCCGGTCCACCAGCCCAGAGTGGCGGTGGGAGAAGCCGGGCTCACCGGAGACCCTGAAGGAGTCGACGTACACCGCTGCAGAGCTCAGCCCGTAGCTGCTTCTTTGGTACGGCAGCGTGCCGCAATGGCTTGTGGTCCGAGGGAGGGTCCCCATACCTGAGGAGACGACAAACAGCAGCAGACACTGATATACTGTGTTTCTGGATGTGGTTGATGTCTACGGGGTGCGTTCAAGGTCACGTCGGAGAAAGTGTTGCATTAAGTGCTTAAACGGGCAGTAAACCGTTTAAAAGCAGCGAGACGTCTCACAGGCCAAACGGGTTTAAATCTTGACTAAACAAAACTTAAAATGGCTCCTTAGATCCTCCACCGTGGAGCCCCGCAGAGCTTTCAGCTTTAAATCATTCTGCAAAGACTTCAATTAAGACGCTGCAGAGTACATGAAAGGTTTCTGCCTAATTAAGTTTTGACCTCAGGGAGTGATAATAATAACAGTTCCTGCGCCTGTAAACCCTGATTTCCGCCACAGATTTGGGAGAAATAATCTTCTGAGCAGACGCGAAACCGAGTCTGGCTTCTCAACCTGGGGATGGAGGCTCCTGAGGGGGACGCCGACGTGAAAAATGAGGTCATGTGATAATAAAGCAGCTAAAACTCGAGCGAGGGAATCTGCACAGTCACAGGAAAACATGCTGCCACCACCACGGCAGCACCTCCACTACCTGGATGTCCTCTCTTTATCTTTCTTTTTGATTTGGTTCGCTCCAAACCAGCCAGAGTTTCAGTTTATGGCCAATTTAAAGCTAAAAAGTGAAGAAAATGCACAGAAGAAACATGTCAAAGTGACTTCTTGTGGTTTCAGTTCAGTGTCAGGAACACTTCACTACATGCTAACAGAAATATTTCTGTTCTAATCTTAAGTGGCAACAATTTTAAGGAGGTAAAAACCCACATAGGTCCATATACCTGCTACTAGTATAGATATACGTCTCCATCATGGCTCCACATGAAAAAGAAGTGCCAGAGGAGCTCCAAAATCTGATTGTGAGACTTAACAAAGAAGGAAAAGACACTAAAAACCAGTGGAAACACAGTTGCAGCAGTAACCAGGAGCTAAATACGGAGCTGCACTGGTCGTCCTCCTAAAACAGGGGTGTCAATCTCAAAAACACAGTGGGCCAAAATTTAAAACCTGAACAAAGTTGCGGGCCAACATTGAACAAATGAACCTTTTAATATGGACCGAAACAAATTTTGCTTTAACATTGAATATGGAACAAGCAGCGCTTATTACCATACATTACATATAAGTTAATAGTGGAGACATGCAAAATCAAATTATAAATGAAAAAACACATCAATGGCACAGTGACAGTTGTAGTGTGAAGTCGCTATGCCTACTGTCACAGAGGAGAGGGAGTGTCTGGGTCCTGTCCTGATTGACGCGCCAAAACAACAACAGGGCATTATGGGATTTGTAGTATTAGCGGTGAATGCGCTGTACAGTATAATACCGGGGGCAGCTCTAGTAGTCATTTGGTATTGTCTCGCGGGCCAAATATAATGACAAAGCGGGCACACAATGACTTGTGCAATTAACCACAGAATTACCATTTTGGGGAGTTAGACTATTCAACATGACAGACTATCCATAGTGTAGAAACACGCAGATCTGTTGCATGAAAGTGCAAAAACATTTTCAATTTTCTTCAAAAGAATAATAAATTGTAAAAACACTGGCTGACAGGATGACTCCCAGTCTGTAGAAGTTTGGAATCGAGGAATATTCCAGCATGATTTACAAGAAAGAAGCAAAAAACTACGACCTGGACGAGCGAGTCGCTTGGCTTGAATCAACACATCTGGAGTGTTCCAAAGAGAAAAGTAGAGCAACACAACCCCTCTGGTTAAATCTGTTGAGCGCAGATGGGATCCAGTTGAGCTCCCACAGTGGACACACAGTCCTGACAGTGGAGCACTAAGTCTTCTGATAACTGTAAAGGGATATACCGTAAATTCTGGACTATAAGCAGCTACTTTTTTCACACGCTTTGAACTCTGCGGCTTAAACAATGATGCGGCTAATTTATGGATTTTTAGGAGTTTTACGAATTTGCCTCGAGAGCGACAACGACAGAGAGATTGAGGACGTGTGAGACAAATTCTGAGGCTGTTCAACTCCGACACTGAAGACTTTAGTGGTTCTAGTCGCAGGAGGAAGATGAAGATAACAATCAATGACTTTTCCTGGTAGGCTGCTGTAGTTTTTATTTTCTTAACCAGCAGTGTTACAGGCACTGTTTGGAAAAAAGCATTTACGGTATTTGTGTATGTTATTGGTATTTAATTAAAGGTTAAAAAAAAATTAGTGGGTGCAGCTTATATTCAAGTGCACTCAATAGTCTGGAAATTACGGGAAATTTTCAATCCTTGGGCGTGTAATTGATGTGCTCTCTTCTCCTGTGAAGCTGTGGCGGAGCTGCAGTACCTGTGTTTGCCCTGTAGAGGGAGCCCTGGGGGTCGTGGGTGGGGCTGTGGTACAGGGGGCTGTGGAAGGAGCGCTCGTCGAACACCGGCGTCATGTGGCAGTCGGGAGACAACGCCGCCCTCAGCTCCGGGTCTATCTGGCCTCCATGACCGGCGTACGAGCTGTGAAGTCCTGAAAAAAAAAAAAAACTTTATTTACACCCAAAAAACACATCAAATTATTTTTTGCAATTCTCTTTGACATTTCGCCTCCTTGACAGGAAGGCAGTGATATAGACAATAAATAAATAAAAGGGCACAACATCATGGTAATGATGAATAATAAATGAATAATGCATAAATAATTGATTGAATTAACGTCTGTATGTTGAAGGGTCGAACACCTGAGGCTGCGCGGCTCACCAGAGACGGCCTAATAGATTGGTGTTTGCACAAACAAACACAAGACGGCAAGATTAAGACGCATATAAGGCACAAAAGCTGCACAATTTCAGTCATTTTTCTTGACGTACAGGCTCATAAATAAACCACATCTGTCGGTGAAGTTGCATTTCACGTCGGCGACAACTGTTGTGCTCCTAAAAATGGCACCAAGACTTCGGCCATTCAGAACCCGCTGCAGGCGCCGACATCAGCAAGTCAAACAAGCACAGCAGAGGGTTTCTCCATCCTCCAATCTGGGAGCAGATCAGTTCAAAGAGCGCTCCAATTATAAAGAGGCTTTAGGGCACGAGGGGGGCAGCCTCGGCGGATCAGTCCAACAGCTGAAGCGCACAATTTGCACTTAAAGCTGCTGATAAAGGAGCTATTTGCTTCTGCAGTTCCCTTCCCTTGATTTACATAAATCTCTCAGGGAGAAGGATGGACGCTGTGTTCAGAGAATATTCCTCCAGAGGAAAATAAAAGCGTGCTCCTGTTGTGACACAGTCTCCTTCAATCTGGATCTCAGTGTCTTTTTTAAAGGGAAACGCGAACCCGAACAGCGACCTTCAGGTTGGAGGACGCTCAAGCTGCCAGACGCTCCACAAGTGAAACTGAAGCTTTTGAATGGTTTGAATGGAGCTCATTGACTGCACGAAAGAAGTTATAACGAAAAACAGTGTCAGTGTCGAGGCTCACACTTACAGGTTGCAACCGAATATTTCAATCATTAATCATTTAATTTCAACATTTTCACCGTTAATCTTCTAGCTAGCAAAGTTCTTTGACTGTTATTTCATCACTCGCAGCAATACTTCTACCATTTATGCACAATTAAATATTAACCCCTCGCCTTTAGCTCATTGTTTATGTAATTTATGCAGATTTTAGCAAACAGTTTTAATTATTTATCCACTATTTTTAGCTAACAGTTTCAGCCAGTTTTGCACAACGTTCAGCTACAGTTTCCACTCTTGATGCACAACTTTTATCGAAGAATTTCAGCCATTTTCTGCTCTAATTTCAGCTACGATTTCAACTATTTATGCAAAACTTTAGCTATATGTTGAGCTAATTTTCTCAGACTTTCAGCAACTATTTATCCTCGTTTTTAATTTACAAATTCAACTATTCCTGCACAACTTGTAGACACAGCTTAAGTCATTCTTGCACAGCTACGATTTTCAATATTTTCCCCCTACCTTTAGCCGGCATTTCTAACTATTCATGCACAACTTTTATTTACCATTTCAACTATTCATGCACAACAGTTTCACCGATTTGTGCACAATTTTTAGCTACGATTTCTAGTATTCATCCCCTACTTATTGCTTGGAGCTTCAACTATTTATGCACGACTTGTAGCCAACAACTTTTACCAAACTATTTTAAAGTTTGTGCAACTTTTA